AAGTGCAGCGTGGCTAGGGCAATGGGCACGAGTCGCTGCTGTGTACAAAGAAACCAGAGCGGCCCCTCCCCAGCTGTGCTGTATGGCTGGGGGCAGGGGGCAATAGATGGCACCAGCCCTTAGGTGGGGTGCAGTGCCTGCCATTCAGTGACGGAGGAGTGGCTATGCAAAGAGCACCCCACACACCTGGAGCCCAGCTGATCCCCTCTGTTGAGGTGGGGGGGGGCAGTGAGACGTGGCTGGACAGGGAGAACGATCCTGGACACGCTTGGGCAGAGGTTCACTGCAGCTCCTGTGCTGGGGCAGGGCCGTTCTCAGTCCTACTTGGGTAGCGGTTGCTGCTCCGGGGGGGGGGGTGCCAGCTGGAGCTAAGACACTATTTCAGCTGCCCAAATCAGAACCATGGAGAGACAAAACAGCGGCCCAAGGAAGCGAGCCTGGCTCAGCGGCAGGGAATCCTGGGCACGGGGGCAGTGATGTGTTCATGCTGCAGTGGAAGGTGTGTGGCACCCAGGGCGGCCCCTGCCCTAGGCATAGCCCCCCTGGGAGACTCCGAGCTCTAGGGGTAGCCATTCAGAGAGGAGAGCCTGGCCCATGGCCAGTCTCTGCCCTCCCTGCCCCCTTGGTTTCTCTCCTTGGGACCCCAGAGCCTTCCCCAGGACTCCTTCCAGTGAGGGATGACCTAGCCCAGCCCTCCCCACGGGGCCTGGGCCTTGTCCAACATGCACCAAGCCCCCAGGGCAGGGAAGTTAGGGCCACCCCTCTCTCCCCACAGTCACATGGAGTAAGAGCAAAGGACACAGAAGCTGCCAAGGAGCCCGTGAAGGAGGGAGCTGGGCTGGGCCCCGGAAGGGCCTCACCCCCCGTCTTTATTAGAACAGCCTGCTCTGCCCCCTGCCCTCCCGGCACAGCCAGGCTTGAGCTCCAGCCTGGGATGATGGGCCAGGGCGGCCGCTCAGCGGCCCGGGGAAGTACGGAACAGAAGAATGGTACAAAAGAAAAACCTTTACTGTGCTTACAATTAACGGCGCTGGCTTGAGTCAAGCAGCTGCCCACTGAGCTCCCCCACGTAGCCCTCCCCCTTCCCCCTCAGCCCTGCCAGTGCCCCCCAATCCTGACCTGCTGCCCCTGGCTTTCCCTACACAGGGCTAGTGCCCTTCCCCTTTCTCTCGTCACCCCACTCCTGGCTCACCCCCCCTCCCCCAACATGCCTCAGTCCCGACTCCCACTTGTGCCAGCACCATTCTAAACACTCATCTGCAAACTCGCTGCCCATGGGGCCTGCTCAGGCTCGGATGCCCTTAACAGCTGGGCCAGCAGGGCGCATGGGAAAGGCAGCCTGGGGCTGAGGGCCTGACCAGACCCTGCCAGCCTCAGCTGGGGTGCAGGGCAGAAGCCAGAGCCCAGCTGTGTCTTGCAGCAGCCCCTGGGCAGCTTGTGAAGGAGAGGGGTGCTGAACAGGGCCCGTGCCCCAGCCCAGGACTCGCCCCTGGGCAGCTTGCGAAGGAGAGGGGTGCTGAACAGGACCCAGGCCCCAGCCCAGGACTCGCCCCTGGGCAGCTTGCGAAGGAGAGGGGTGCTGAACAGGACCCAGGCCCCAGCCCAGGACTCGCCCCTGGGCAGCTTGCGAAGGAGAGGGGTGCTGAACAGGGCCCATGCCCCAGCCCAGGACTCGCCCCCTGAGGCCCTGCCACGGAGATGTGACCCAGGAAAGGAGTTCTCTTCCTGCTCAGGAGCCGGAAATGAGGCACCTCTGATCCTGAGCTGGTACCTGGTCTCCGGTGGGGCTGAGCACCTGCCACTCCCACCAGCTCCACCGTGGGCACGAGCGCTCAGCCCCTCTGGGATCAGGCTGCGATGGCAGGTGCCTGGGGCCAGGGTCCTTCCCTCCAGGCCACAGCTCTGAGTGGCTGCATCCAGCCCGAGGCAGCTCCAGCTTCTCCCTGGGTTAATTTCCAGTTAGGAGGGCTGTAGATCTGGGTGCATGGCGCAGCGGGAGGAGAGCATCAGCTCTGAGCAGGGCTGGGTGTTGGCTTCCCTGGGGGGGGTGGGGACACCCCCCCCAAGGGAGCACAGGGGCAGCTGCAGAAACCCAGCAGTGAGGAGTTGGGTGAGTTTGGGCAGCTTCCCCCAAGCCCTGTGCCAGCTCGCCAGATGTGGGGGGTGGGCTCCTCCCTGGACTGCACAGATACACGAAGCCCCAGCAGCCCCCGCGGCTCAGAGCAGGAAGGGGACGATAGGCGAGCGCAGGGGTGGGTAGTCCCGGAACTCCTTCAGGTAGCTGCGGTGCTTCCCCTTCGCCCAGATGGTCATTTGGATGAAGCCGACCAGAGAGAACAGGGCCACTGTGGGCAGAGAGGAAAGCGGTGAGGAATTTAGGGGGCGGCACTCCCTTGCCCCCCCCCCCCGGGGTTGGGTAGGTAAATAGGACCT